TTGGATTTTTTACAAGAAATACAATTTAAAGCCACTCTCTTTATTTTTACGTGTGTCCACTCTCTGTCATGGCACACCTAGCAAGGTGTGCCATGGCACACCTAAGTATTTGCGGTGTAACAGATCATATAGATTGCATTTTAATTAATGTTGTATGTGGATTTTTTTTTTTAAAAAAAAAATTGCCATTAAAGGAAAACAATAAATGTAGACAGAGTTATTGACCAAAATTGACTTGCCATTTTTAAAAAATGGTAAATCTTTTTATATATATATAGATGTCATTATACCGTAGAATTAAAGAAGATAATTTGTATAATTTTTATTATATATAAAATAAAAAAAATATTTTATTTTAATTAAATCAATTCGATCACTGGTCCGACCAGTGTACTATTGAAAGTTTGATGACCAGTTCGATTTTCAGAACCTTGATTACAATCGGGATTGTCGTTAGGATTCACTAACATACATTAACATTGGACCACAATGCAAAATAAACAGTGTCAAATATAATTCACATACAAGATACCAGAACAAAAATAGCATTCAATAGTACTAATAGAACATATAACATCACAACAATGTGATAATAATTCACACTAGTTCTAATATAAATAACCAAGAAAACTTTAGTATTAAACAAGAAACCAAAAACAGAAAGGGTTAACATATAATTAACCTAATGTGCTTAGGTACCAGCGGCTCCAGCTGCTGTTTAGCGTAAATCTTTGCTTCTTCGGCCAATTTTAATTTTTCATGATCAACTGGCTCATAGGGAAGAGGGTCCGGAGGTTGGGTATCAACAATGATCTCCTTAAGCGCGACACAATTCTCCATCAAGTAGTTGACTAATTCAAGATCACTCGGGCAACCATAATAACCCAAAAACCGAAAAACATTCAAGTGCTGGTGTTGTGGAAACTGCTTAACTCCCTTCTGAATTTCTCTATTTGACCTTTTAACAGCAAACCATTCTTGCTGCAAATATGAGTGAATAAAATAAAGGTCATAGATTAGTTTAACATATAAAGTGTAAGACGCCATAAAGCCATTCAATGATGAGCAGTTTACACGAGATTGTAGGGATAGTGTTTTCAAACATGTTTGGGATAGACCAACCTTTAACACAAATTCTTGCAAGTTGGGAGATGCCTTGATAAATTGAGCTAGTTCTAGAACACTCCAGTCCACTCCATATAACAGTTTCTTGATGACCAACTTCCTAAGTTTAGGCATCACAGGGAAATTGAGAGTCGTAAGAACCACCTGCAACAACAATAAATAAAGATATCAACTTGTAAGTTACATATACAGGCTCACTGCAAATTTCATAGGATGCTAGAGTTATAAATTATTTAGTTTGTTTTTTGTACATATTTATAATAATGCTTCAAACAATGAATTTATTGCTGGTTTGACAACCATTCGTGATTGTGTGAGCCACCAAATTTAACTGTTGGCAAATCCGCAATAGGGCTATGTTATTATGTTTTACAATGCAAACACAGAAATTAACCATGCTATATTTACTTTACCATCAATAAGTGAATATAAACAAAATAAGAGAGACAGCTTACCTTCTTATCATAAATGTTCAAGGTGAGAATCTCCAATTGGGAAAAACAGCAAAGCAGTGTGGGAACTAGCCTTTGTACAAACACAGGATCATATCCCCACACTGCTCCAACGTTCACATAAACGTCACGAAGCATTGGAACATCCACAAGCAAGAGGGCTTCTATTTTATCAAGTATAAGCGTAGTAAGATTTGGAGCAGAAATTCGTAAGGATTTCAAATAATTGCACTGGCATATCTTCAAATGCTTTAACACAAGGGATGGTCCACAAACTTCAAGACTGGTCAATAATTCGGAAAAACAGACAACTAACCGCTCGAGTAATGGGCTGTAACGTAAGAAAAACTCGATAGCTTCACCAGAGACTTTAGTGCAGCTTAAGCACAAAACTTTTAAGGTTTTATAGTTGAAACTTCTGCTATTTTCCCGTAACAACTCTAGAGGAAACACGTAAGTTTCGTCTGGGTCATGAGAACTCTCACCGTTTGAAAGGTTCAATTCCAACTTTTCGATGTGCCTCTCAAAAGCAAATTCAAGCCACTTTGTAATTGACGGTGATTGGATTAAACTAAAACATATTCTGAATTCTTTCAAGCTGAATCCTCTGTGTGATTGGAGAACCGAATCCACCCACCTTACATACTTTTCCCTTTCCCTCTCTAATAAGGGAAAAAACATACTGTCTAATGAGGGAAAAAACATACTCTCTCGGACAATCTTCTCCATGGAGCTATAGTCATCAAAGTAGAGATAA